ATATCAATAGGGAGCTACGAGCAAGGCAGCTCTGCTCCAGAAAGAAAAGAAGCCAGCAGGTCCTTTTCCGCTTGATCGCTAACTCATGGGCAAAGCCGTCTTTTTCCGCCCCTCATGCAGCATATGAGCGGATCTTCACTAAAACCGGCTCTATTGCCAAATATATATTTTGCTTAGTAAGACCCTCTTCAAGCCTCCACTGAACAAAATTTTGCTTGTACTTGATAATAATTTTCTTGATACTACTGAAAGGAATATAAATTCAAGAAACCAATCTAATAGTTATAGTTGTGGCTGTTAGTAAGGAAGCAAGTGCATAAAGTGTCATAACATTATATTTACACGTTAAAAATGGAAATTGATAAGTAGTTTACATCATGGATTTGAATAAGGATTTGGTCTCTAAAACCAACACATAAAAGATTTGTCCAAAATTTATTCTTTTCTGGGTCAAAATGCGTAGTGCCAAATTCGTGGATTCTGTTTGTGCCTGATTAGTACCAGGCGGTTGTTGGAACTCTTGGATCGCATACGGACTCCAATTGGCAGGCAGTCACGTAGGATCCTACAAGAAATGTTCTCAGGGGAATCCTAGGACTTCCTCCGATGGCTAAGTTAGTGAGAGAAATTAGAGAATCGTAAATAAGAGAGAGAGAGAGAGAAGTGGTTGGAAGTTACCATAAATGCTACCCATGAGGGGGTATTTATACTAACGTTGGCTATGGTAAGGGCATTTAATGACCTATCGGGTGCCTAGGGACGCCTCAGGCTCCATTGAATGCATAGTCAGAGCGTATCTTTGTCAGTCTCTGTACTACGGAGTTCAGGAGGCCGTTAGACCTTTATGTCGGGCAGTCTTCTAGGTTAACGATGGAGACTTTGTCGGGCGGTCTTCTCGTGCCTTTTCAAAGAGGGCCCAGCGCGTATGCCAACCTTTTTGGGCCTGGCTTGCTTATTTTTGTGCTTTTAGTGGCCATGGGCTTGGGGCCCATGCGTCTCAGTGCTTGGCCCAACATATTCCATAGATTTTTAAATCCCACCTTTTATTTGGATTTTGAAGAATGAAACAAATCCTTCAAATGAAATTACGAATATAGTATATCCCTTATAATTTAATTATTCTAATTGTACGTCTGATTACTTATTTTTTGCATGATAATTGCCTCTTATAGCTACAAATAACAACCATGAAAATAGTGTTGTAGCTAATAACATGCTAATAACTATGTAATCTATTGCTCGTGGCTATTTGTGAAGGTCTTAGTCACAAATTTATATAGCCATAAGCCTATAACTAAATTGTTTCAAATGTATCGAATATGATGGCAAGTAATACCGTTTAGCCACACAGATTTTTAGCAACGTTAAATTATCAAAGTAGACTTTTTTTTAGCTATGAACCACATTTGTTGTATCAACAATGATTCTAACAAACAAATTTTAGCCACATATTGTAAGATTATAACTATATTTTTATTAGCTACACAAATAAAACTATCAATATAATAGGAAAAAGGGTAGTAAAGTGATATACATCTTAAAGATAAAAATTCATAACCCAAACAATCCATGATCAAATCAACTAAATAAACAATAGGACCTTTCAAATCCATAATGCAACAAATCGCTAACAAATTTAAAGGGTTTCAAAACCCAAGTTCTAACCAAAATCCTACTTTTCAAATCAAAGATATTCTTTGTAGTTTTTTTTGGATAGGAAATATATTCTTTGTAGTTACGATAAACTTTAATCAACCATTTCGTTTTGTCGATTTGCTATACTAAAAACTAGCACAGGATCCGGCCCGTTGGCCGGAAGAATTTTGTGAGGAATATGATATATAATAATTGATATAATAAACGATTTAAAATGCATTAAATGATTTTTTTTTTACCTTACTTGTGCACATAACATTTTTGAAAATGATCCTATGTATAATGTCTTTAGAACTCAATGAAGAGCGAAAAAATATGGTATAAGCATTACATATAATTATGGAATGAAAAAAGAAATAAATATAACTAATTTTCATTCATTACTTAATTAAACCATATAGTTGAATATTAACGTTCCTTCTCATAATACATATAAATCAACCTTTAGGATGAAATAAAATGTCTCTCATAGAGTTTAGTATGTCCTTTATGTTTTTCCCAATAGAGAGCATTCTTTTTTAACACACCATTGGTAATGGATCTGAAGTTGCTTGATTTGAAATACATAAGACATGATGCTAAATTTTCGCTAATAGTTAGTTGGACAATGTGTTCTGTACGGACTTCCCAAATTATTATCAGATCCCAGACATGTCTAACAACAATATAGTAATTTTCACGCAGCAAACATTTTTTCATGAAATAATTCAATAAATAAAAACCCATGAAAATCATATTATATGAAATATATGTTACTCACTAAGTTGATGAATGAGCGAGGGTATGAGTAACATACATTTATTTTAAAAAGATAGAAGTTGCAAAGTGTCTTTTGGGTTGAATGAGATTGCATATTCTCATAATCGCTAACTGACTTATGTTTTTTTTTTTTTTTTTTTGCAGTAGATAGTTCAAAATGTGCCTTAAATTTTTGTTTCCACCAGTGTAAAATAATTCTTTGAACCAAATGATTGTAAAATCGTATCGAAAAAGTTGGTAATAGAGTATTTTATATTGAAGTCATAATTTAGCCGTGGTTAAACCGTTTCGTGTTGCCAAATATCACTTATCGATTTAGCCTATGGTGTAAAGTTTTATGGTCGAATTACCAGTATGTACGATTTTTCAATTCAAACTTTAAATAAAAAACCACTAAAATATTGACATTATCAAATACCCTTTAAATCTCATAAATTACTATAATCGTTTTAAGGAAAAAAATCATCCAAACGATAATATTGATTTAGGATTTTAGATTGAAATGGAAAAAATCTGTCCACTATAATTTCATCTGCTTAAATAAATCAAAACTCAAAAGAAGACGATCAAGAAGACCCACTAAACAAAGCAGAAGAGAAATTATTACACACTACCTCATTTCCCCCTCTTTTAAATGTGTCATCTCGCTCTCTCTTTGTATTTTCGTTTGTTCTTCCATCTCTTCTCTCCGAGCTTTGTATCTCACCACTCTCCCCCTTTCCGTTCCTCTTTTTTCCCACTTCCTGGAATCGAGAGAAACCAAGAAACATCACAATCACTTCTCCAATTTTGCATTCGAAATGTTTCTTCTTCATTCACAGTCGATAGTGTGAATCAGAAAACTTAAAACCTGGCGAACAGATGGCCGCTTATTCCAAGACGGAGCAAAGTAGCTTGATATCTTGTAGGAGCAGTCGCCGGCGAACCCCTCTCCGTCTCCAAACAAACCCTCAATGACTCCCTCTACATCTCTGCCCGCTGTCGACCGCTCCCACAACATTTATTTGGTGTTCCTCCTTCCTTGAACTCGTTGGCAGATGCTCAACCCCGATATTCTCTTCCAAAGTCACAATCACTGGCTCCAACCAGATCCAATCGTTGCAAATTAAGGTGTCGGAAACGCAATGGTGGCCGGGTGGCGTATTTGGTGATGGTGATGCAGAGGGAGCTAGCTCTTCAATTTGGGGGGGGGGGGGGGGGTTGATTGGGTTATTGGCAACTCATGTTCGACGCCCTGGAGGAAGAAGAGGTGCAACAGAACAGAGGGGTTGGAAAAGAAAGGGAGAAATAAAAAAATAATTAATTCAAAAAAAATAATCAAATAGTATTTAATTAATTTATGATGTGTCATATCTATGTGTCAGTTTATGAAGATGTATACGCTGATTTGGATTTCTGTCAGCATGTTGTTACAATAACTGATGACGTCGCTAACATCGTTAAAGTTTGTAATTTTTCATACAACCATCAAAATTCTGGCTACTTCGTGTATTTCGAAAGATGTGGCTATAATTGTCACAAACGTGAAAATTATGGCTATGTATGTGTATTTTGACAATATAGAAGTATCATCACCAAACATATTCCTAGAATTTAATCAAAGAAATAACAATAAATACAATGTAGCCTAGTTGGTTATAATGCTCTTTGTTCATTTACGTGACGAAGGTTCAAACTCCAATGATAAGATTTTTAATATATAAAGGTGAACTAGGCGCAATGACAAAAATGACATTCCTAGAATCACTCTCAGGTCATGAAATTTGAAATGGGACAATTTCAACCCATGTTTTGTCTTTATATATTTTGTATATTGCGATGGCAGATGGGGAGATTGGATTTTGTGATAGGCGTTGGGCCATGGTCGATGATCTGGAGGAAGAAGAAGAGGTGCAGTAGAGCAGAGGGGGTGGAAAAGAAAGGGAGAAAAAAAGAAGAAAAAAATTAATTCCAAAAAATTAATTAAAGAATTTTTAATTAAATTATGACGTGTCATATCTATATGTCAGTTTATGATGATGTATACGTTGATTTGGATTCCCGTCAGCATGCCATTACAATAATTGACGACGTCCCTAAACTGTTAAAGTTTGTACAACCATCAAAAGTCTGGCTATTTCGTGTATTTCGAAAGATGTGGCTATAAGTGTCACAAACGTGAAAGTTGTGGCTATGAAAGTGTATTTTGACAAGATAGACTAACTAGTAAAAACACATCTCGCTTGATGTATTTGAACCAAGCGACACACCAGCAAAGGTGATATTGTCCAAAGACGTTTTCCTGGAGGATGTGTATGACCTTGACGAGCAATCATATGAGTGCCTCCATTGGCTTCGCGAAATATATGGTGAATAGTGTAATTCCATCTATGTTGCATGAGTGTACGACAAGCACTAATTAGGCTTCCAAGGTGATGAAAGGTGGGGTCTCCAAGGTGTACGACAATCACCTATCGGCATATTGACATCACAATTTTGTCTTCTCAGAACAAAGTCGTATGAACCGGCCCAATATGCCGGCTTAATCCCATAGACACAACACACAAGTGTTTAATAGCTATGTTGGGCTAGGCCCAACACGGTTATTACTTTATTCCCTCCCTGGGCCTAAAGGTTTCCTTCACCATCCACCCGGTTCCTTCCTGCTTCCCGAATTCCTCCAAAAACTCTGAATACCTATACTCCCTATACATTCTCGGGTGTTCGCCGTCGATCAAATCCTCCACCGGACCGATCACCGCATCTTTATCCGGAGCATAAAACATTGCCAAAGAAACCCGACTCCGTTCCTTGCTCGTCACTGCTCTGTGGTGAACGCTCTTGTACCTTCCATTACTCAGAACCTGGGAATGAAAACACATAGCCCCTAAAATCCAATTCCCAAATGGTGCGGGGAAAAAAACTCTTACCTTTATCTCTTGTACCTCAATTTGATCACCCAGGTTGACGATGAAAGCATCAGGTACCGGATTGACGGCGACCCATTTCCCGTCTTTGATCACTTGGAGCCCATCCGCTCCTAAATCCTTCTATCGAAGCAGAGTGAGTGCGTGAGGGTCCGTATGAACAGCCAGCCCCAAGGTGAGTTCAGGGCTCGGACATGGCGGGTAGTAGTTTGCGTATGCCCTTTGTCTTGGCTTGTTGCCGAGCCTCTTTTGCAAGCAATCTTTCTGCAGGCCTAGCCCCTGGGAAATCAAGCTCAAAAGCCGGGTTGTTAAACCCCCAACCTCCTCCGCGTATGCAGCAAAAACCTCACTGCGGCAATAACACAAACACTTAGCCTGCAATGTTTTTGGTGCTCAAATAGTCAAATCTGCAGAAATGAAAGTATACCATAGGTTACCGGTAGTGAGGGGGGTTATCTGGCAAAAGATGGATGATTTCGTGGAGGGAATGACAAGGGTAAGAAAAGGTCTCGCTCCACATCCGGATTTCCATCTCTCCCCCTTCTCCACCGCTGCAGCCATCGGCGTTGACTTTGAGGTGGAAGTTCTGGAGCTTGACTTGCCTCGTGTTACTGTCGTCGTCGTTGTTTGCTGCATAGAACTTGGCTTTCTCTTCTGGAAATGTTTCGAAGAAGCTGGAGATGGAATTCATCATTTTCCCGCAGAGTTCGCTTGGAACTCCATGGTTGATGACCTGGAAGAAGCCGTAATCCTCGCAAGCGCGGGAGATTTCCTGAGTTAGCTTGGACAATTCGTGGGTGAGATCGATGATAGGAATCGACGCTAACCGGGATACCTCCGAGAGATTTGGCCGTTTTCCTTCCGGGAGGATGAAATCAGGAGGCAGGGGAAGAGGCGATGATTGGCACTCGCCCATCATTTTGACGACAAGTTCAACAAGTTTGTAAATGTGAGTGCATCCAAAGTCGATATTTTTTCTGCCATTCAGAGTCCAAAGTCGAGTTGCTAAAAAGCAATGTTGTCATAACCGAATCGGAGCATGACCCGGTAATGCGAACGGCTCGCACTTTAATGGTTTAACCAGCATTAGACCGTTTAAAAACCGTTAGAGAATCGGTACCTTATAAACGTTATCAGTATAAATAGTGGACATTTCTTAATCAGAGTTCGTCTCTTTCCTTCGAAATTGTGAAATGGAAATAAGGATTCAGTTTGAGAGCCCGACGTTTTTGGTTAATTTCAATTTTCAATTTTCTGCAATTATTTTAATTAAATTTAATGGCTGAATGGCAAAAACCGGACAAACGACTCAATCGGCTCGAGCGATTAACTGCCTCCGCCGCTCATCAACCGCTACATAAAACTGGAGCGGCTTTTAAACTGTTCCGAGCCAGTTTTGTGACCGGGTGGCGGTTTATCGGTCGGGCCGAGCGGCTCGGCTCGGCTTTAAAAACACCGCTAAAAAGTAAAAACACAAGTCTGAATAAAACTCATTTGATGTCATTGTCAACTATTGAACACTAACAAGTTTGATTATTGAACTTTGATTTTTAAGGCAGTTAACATTTGAAGTTTGGAATAACAAGCATACTACTTGTTTTTAGTATATCAACTAATTCAAATAAGTAGAAAAAATAACCATGTATCCTCTTGTTTGTATCATCCTACCCAATTTAACCCACTCTAGACGTTACCATGAAATCATCCTTATGTATCCTCTTATTTGCATATATTTGAGTTAACAAAGAATTAGTTAGTCTTTCACATAGGATGGCAATGAGCCAGGTTTGAGACGAGTTTGTTTAAATCATCCCTATCTTCATTTTCAAATATATAAATTCATACTCGCGTCATACCTATGTGAGGAAGGTTGTGCAAATCCATTCCCGTATAGTAGTTTTTGTGTACCCATGGGTAATAGCCGCTCCGTACATCCAATATTATTATATCTGAAATTTTACATGCAAATTTATTTTCATTTACAACACTAAATGAACGTAGTGCATGATGAACTCAACAAACATACAATCATTTTTAATATGATTCAAACCTATGTGAGGAAGGTTGTGCAAATCCATTCCCGTATAGTAGTTTTGTGTACCCATGGGTAATAGCCGCTCCGTACATCCAATATTATTATATCTGAAATTTTACATGCAAATTTATTTTCATTTACAACACTAAATGAACATAGTGCATGATGAACTCAACAAACATACAATCATTTTTAATACGATTCAAAGCAACTGATGCTAAGACATCCGTTATGCCACAAGATAGAGTACAATAGTTTTCAAATTATTATTCTCTAACTCTAATATCTCTATACTAAGTAATAAATAGCTAACATAATCTTTTTAACAGGGGATGAAAGAGTTAACGGAGAATTGAGGGAAAACAATTAGGTTTTAATTTGAGTGGCCACTAAAATGCATTTCTACTATTTGTTTTCCTAAGATACCCTCACTATCAATGATATGTTGCAATTTGATCAATTTATGTTTTTTTATATGTGAAGGAATGTTATTAGTGGGGCAAATATAGGTATGAGGCAGGGGAAGATAAAATCATATTTATCTCATACAAATAAACCGTTTTGCAAAATTTACCCATACCCGTCCCATATCCAATCAATGCGGGAATTCCACGCGTTGACTGGATCGGGAACAATTGGGTACCTACAGTTATTACTCATGAGTTTGATTGTCATCCCTAACCACTATTCCATCCATTGGGCTTATGTGAATTGGGTTAATTCATTGGTCTTGAGCTGTGGATTGCTAAGGCCCAAATTTTATTATTAGTAACTCGCCTCAGACCGAGAGTATGTAAAAACTAAAAACTAAAAAGAAGAACACGAAGAGAATCAGCTCTTTATTTTTTTATTTTCTCTCTTCTACATGGTGATGCTTCGTGTAACACCTTAGGCAAATCCCACATCGACAAAGCACAGGAGAGATCCATGGTTCATAAGTAGAAAATCGACCTTAACTGACAAGACGTGTTTTGGGGTGTAATGGAAGATTTCTTGTGAAAACTCCAAAGTTAAACATGCTCAGTGTGGAGTACAACAAGGATGGGTGACCTTATGGGAAGTACCCTGAATTGCACCCAAAATCAAAATCCGTGCGGATGTAGAGACCCAAAGCGGACCAGTGCAGTCAAAATCGTGCTTTAAAGCGTAAAATCGTACGCTTTTACGTTTCTAGGATAGGAAAACGTTTCAAATCACTAATAAAATCGTATTTTACTCAAAATCAGTCAAAAGCGTTAGTAGAATCGTTAATATCGGATAAAAGCGCGCTTTCATACCGTTTTTATCCGATTCCAAACAAAGGAGAAAATTGTCTCCGCCAAACAAAAACGACGCCATTTTGATCACTTCGGACAAAAAAAAGGGGGGGGGGGGAAAGGGGGTGGATATCAGGCTGAGGTTGCCAAACCACTCTTCCGCAATCCCTAATCCTCCATCTCCAGCACACTCTGCGCCGCCGCGCATCCGGCCTTCCAGTGAAGTATTCGCCAATAGGCATTTTCAATAAGATACAACACGTCCAAGCCACCCATGGTTTACGTAAATCTAGGAGCATGGCCAATAGTGGACAGGGGGGCAAAGTTCATGTCTATGAGTAGTGAGTACTTGTCACCAACCACAAAGAGTGTACAAGAGTGCATGCCACCAATCACAAACAGTGGAAATGGGGGCAAGTCCAACAAGGAAAGACGTGGGAAAGACAAAAAGAGTTCTCGTAGTTTTGATAATTTAGCTAAGTATGGACTAGAGGGCATGTCACGAGCCATGGATAATGGAGTAGGATGCATGTCTAATAAGTCACAAAGAGCCCAAGCCACACATGCTTGTGACAAGTATGAAAATTTGGCTAAGTACGGACAGGGGGACAAGTCCATGTCCATGAGTAATAGGTGCTTGTCCCCAACCCCGAAGCGTGGATAATGGGGCATGTATAGGAAGTCACATTACAAAAAAATCAAACATGACCGTACAAAGAAGCAAGGGTGGTTGTGTTCTAAGTGTAGAGGCCAACAATTTTCAGATGTTGGAAGACAAAGTCAAATGGACCACATGAGTGGTAGCCAACTTATCAAGCCTAGACATCGTCTCCAACAACACGAGGAGAGTAAGCATGTCTCCACAATGAGGAAACCAATTCAAAGGAAAACTCATGTTTGTCTTGACATGTCAAGTAATGTGGCCAAGGCCGAGGAGCATGGGATCCCATGTAAGGCCATAAAGGCTAGACGTGTCGATCATGTGCGACCCACTAGTAAGTTAGAAAATTCAAAATTGATGTATGGGGAGTCATGTCTCATGGAGGAAAAGAGGCATGATGTCTATGGATGGTTTGTCTGCTTCAATCCATGGACTTGGCAGTGGGTGTGCACCTTTGCCGCATTAGTTGTTGCCAAAGACGATGGAGAGCACTAACTCAGTAAATCTTTTTCCAGATTAAATAAATAAGTATATTTATATATGAACAATAAAAAACACTAGCCAACGATGTAAAAAAATAGAAAGAGATGTCAAAGTGAAAATTTGAGTCGAGTTGTTAGACTTCAATGTGAAGATCTTGCCGCCAAGTTTTTGTAATAGCTTGGAATGCCGAGTCATATATCACGTCATGTCGTCTAATTCCAAGTGGCCATAAGTGAGTGGTGGCCGTGGTATGGAGGCATGGAAATTTGGTGCTAAGTGTTGGCAACATAAATTTGTCTTGTAAGACATCGATGAGTTACAAGATAAGTAATGAGTTTAAGTTGGGCCTTATGGATATTGATTTTAAGCCCAAACCACTAAGTCATTAATGAGCATAGGCATGATCCAATGAGGGACATGTGCCTCTCGTAAGAGGGACGTGCCACTTCAACGAGGAGGGCCATGCCTGCTAGAATCTAGAGGCTTGTTCCGCTTCAACAAGGAGGGTCATGTCCATCTAGAAATCGAGAAGCACGTGCCGCTTCACGAACAGGGTCATGTCCATCTCAATGTAGAAGTACATGTCGTCTTAACGAGAGAGATGACGACATGGCTGACGAATGACTAAGTCTGAGAGGTCCATGCCGCTTCATGAGAATGGGCATGGTCGCGAGACAAGAAGGTACTATTGAAATTTACTAAGCATGATAAGACAATGTCATGTCACGGGAAGGGTCACGAACATGACTGAGATGTCCATGGTCGCGAATGAATAGGCCATGACGCCTCATGACCAAGACCAAATGACCCAAAATATTCTAAGTCTGGGAGGTCCATGCTGCTTCACGAGAAGGGCCATAGACGAGAGACAATAGGCTAAGCATGACTGAAAAATATTCTAAGTCTGAGAAGACCATGCAGCCTCACGAGAAGGTCCATGTGCATGATTAAGAGGTTCATGGTCGTGTCGTGTGATGACCATGGACGCGAAGCAAGAAGCATTAGACATGATTGAAAATACTAAGTCTTGGAAGGCCATGCCACCTCATGAGAGGGGCCATGTGCATGATTGAGAGGTCAATGCCACTTCACGAAAGTGGCCATGGACACGAATAATAAGGGCGTAGTGGTGGAGCATTATATCACTAGTGACTAAGTCCCAAGAGGGTCATGTACATGAGTAAGAGTCCATGGCCATGAGACAAGAGGACCACGACCCCTTTGCAAGACACCCCATGCTCATCAAAACACTAGCGTGGCACGAGATCTAGAACAAGAGCATAGGAGGCAAGCAGGGAGCAGTTCTTTTTGGGAGTTATCCAAGAGGCGATTTTCGATGACAGTTATCTCCACATGGCTATAAATAGGAGAAAGGGTCGACAGAGATAGGGGTTCCCAAAACCACACAACTGGCACACATGTCAAGTTTATCTTTTTTCTCTATCATGTAGCCATAGACGTAGCTTTTAGTTTGGAGCTCTCATTGAACCTCCATAGAAGTAGGGGTAATTTAACTTATTAATCGTTGTCCCAGAAACCATCACTCAAACACCCTCGTTCGAACTGTGTTTGAAGAGGTTTGAGTCATGTCTTAGTAATCGTTGTCCAAATAAGTCAAGGTGAAATCAATTTATTCAACACAGATTTTCCTCGCTAAAAACAGCGGGCAAGCCTATGCGGCTCGACAACTGGACATGCTAGGGGTCTACCTACACGCTACAACGCTCCTGGATCATCCTCCTAGCCACGTCATTACTCCTCAGCGTAATGTACATCTTCGCCACCTCTCTACTCCTACTCATCGGCCAGCCCGCGTCCATCTCACGCGCTGCTGGCACCTTCGCCACCTTGATGCTCCCGCAGCTCTTCGCCTACGCACTCAACTACCCGATGACCAAGTTCCTGTAGGCGCAGCGCAGGATGGCCGCAATGGCCGGGATCACGGCTACGACTTTGGCCCTCCACGCCGGATTCTTCTGGTCTGGATGCTCGTGCTGAGGCTCCGGTGGGGCTCGTCGGCGCCGCGGGGGTGCTGAACGCTTCGTGGTGGTTCATCGTGGCGTTGAAGTTTGTGTATGTCGCTGGCGGCGGGAGGTGCGGGAGGGCTTGGAGTGGGTTCACGTGGAAGGCGTGGAACAATCTGTGGGGGTTTGTTAGGTTGTCGCTTGCCTCGGCTGTTATGGTTTGGTAAGTCAACTGCGTACATTGCTTTTCTATGTTAATTTTTTTCGTTCATTAATTTGTAAAACAAAGTGCAAAATGGTGCCCTAATAAATAATTATGTGTATAACAGATCAAACGACACTTGAAAGTATAGATAGAAAAAATTTATGCATTAGTCGCTAGCTAGGCAAGAGAAATATTTGAAAAAATATATGTAACAACAATCAGAACGAGAGAAGTGATTCTCGCGATAGGCAGAATGATCCGCAACAAAATTGCTTTTATGATGAATATGAGTTTGATTATAAGATTGTTATAGATATATATTGTACACGGTCCAAACAATACTAATATACTATTGTTAACGAATGGGTTTAGCATGTTGCAGCTTATAGATATGGTACTTCATGGTGTTGATACTGTTCACCGGTTATCTCAAGGATGCTGAGGTCGTCGTGGATGCTTTGTCCATATGGTACGACCCTTCATACTCCAAAATTCAATTCCTTTGTACTCTGCAAAAAAACATTCAATTCACTTGTTACATTTCTGCAGTATGAACATCTTGGGATGGACCATTACGGCGACGTTTGGAATGAACGCAGCAATAAGGTTTAGTTTATATATTTTGGTCTTTTCATTATCAAACTTGTCAATAAATATATTTTTTAGCATTTACAGAGTTCATTAAGTATCTTTACAGTACACATTTTTCCAGTTTACTCAGTTTATCAAATTTTACTCAGTTTATCAAATTTTTCCACGTGTTTGATACCGGAAATATTTTCCTTTCATAAAGTCACTCACTTTAAATCTAGTTTCATCTTTGGTCATTGATCGTCCAATTTTGTTAACTTTGTCCTACTGTCCCATTTTTTAGCGTCAGAATATCTAACGAGATGGGAACAGCTCATCCGAGAACGGCCAGATTCGCCCTACTAGTTGCTGTCTGTGATATCTTCCTTCATGGTTGGGCTCGCCCTTGCTCTCATTCTCATCGTCACGAAAGACTATTACCCATCCCTGTTCTCCAACAACTTTTCAGTGAAACGCGTCGTCACAGAGATGACTAGCTCCCTTACTAGCTCTGTGGATTGTTATTAACAATGTTCAACCTGTACTCTCAGGTAACACTATAATAACCTACCATTAATTCATAGTTTTTGTTAATTTGAATATCAAAAGAAATATTAATTTGTTGTTCTTATATGTGGAAATTATGGACAAGGTGTGGCGATTGGGGCGGGATGGCAAGCAGCAGTGGTGTATGTGAACATTGGTTGCTACTATCTGTTTGGAATTCCATTGGGTTTGATTTTAGGCTACAAATTTGATATGGGCGTCATGGTGAGTAACAATATTAAGTCGAGCTCGACTCGTTTCTTACTGAGCGGAGCCCGATTTAGGTCAAAAGTACTCGGCTCATATTTGCAGCCCTAATATTCATGTTCGAATTGTTTAATTCTTTTCTGTGTTGTAGGGTATTTGGTTAGGGATGATGGCCGAAACGGTGTTGCAAACTCTTGTACTATACTAGATGATCTATAAAACTAGCTGGAATAAGGAGGTAACATATATAACTAGTTACGAAATTTTTGTTCCTGGGTTCTGCTTGGTCCGACAAAATCATGAACAATGGGAAATTTTCCAAATTGACCACCCAAAAATTTGAAAAATCCCAACTTTTATCACAGGGGACCGCGATTTTTGGGAAAGGATGGTATGAATGGAATTTTCGAGAATGGGTGGTATTTTTGTTTTTTTGTGGTATTTTTTAAAAAATTCCTAACCAATGGTCATTTTCTCAATTCCAAGCTTCTATTCCGGAAGATCGAATAAAGAAATGGGGAGGCGGCGATTGTCACAACGAGAATACCAACGATGTGGCTATTAGTTAAAGCTAACTCATTCTAGCTAGTCCAAACACTAATATAAAGAGGTTCTCCATTACAAATATTTAATTCTAAATTTCTAACCTTCTGAGTAAATTTAGGAAGGACATTTTTGTACTTCTAATTGATAAAAACCCAAACAGAACACTTTGTTAATTATACTAATGTAAAAAAGATTTCGTCTAATGTTTTTTTAAAACCAGTTATTATATTATTATTTTTAGTTAGGAAAGATTATTCTTTGAAAATTTGACCGATGGTTGTGTGTTTCTATAATTCTATATAGGTTTAGTTTTTTATTCAATTTTCTTTTATTATAAGGTTAAGTATTTGAGACAGATTCTTATATGTGTGACTTTGCTAATTAACTAATTCTTATGTTTTTTGCTAATAATTATCAATGATTGTTTAAGTAATTATTAGTTTATTTCTCAAAATTTCTTTTAATCCAAATTGCTAATTAACACTCTCCCAACCATGCATCACTTCCCTATTAATCCATAAAGATAGATGGCTTGTCTTGTTAGTGCAAATCTATCCTTTGTTCCATTTTGCTCTTTCTGTATCCTTATTGAATATTCTTCTCTGTTTTTGTTTTTGTTTTTAGTTTTTATGGGAATGGGGTAGATTTGTCTAAACCATCTCATCCTGTTTTCATATATCCAAATTCATACCCGCCTCATACTCATACGAGAAAGATTTTACAAATCCATCCTCATACCCGTGGTTTTTGGGTACTCTGTAGTACCCGCCTCGTACATCCAACAATATTATACCTAAAATTTTACATATAAAATTTTGATTATAACACTAAATTGACCTACTATATTATAAAATCAACAAAGAAACAAGTATTCTTAATATAATTCAAAAATAACTCAATAGGCACTAAAATTACTGAGGTGTCATAAAGTGTAATAATTCTATTTGGTTAAATTTTAGGTATAATATAAAATTTTGATTATAACACTAAAGTGACCTACTATATTATAAAATTAACAAAGATACAAGTATTCTTAATATAATTCAAAAATAACTCAATAGGCACTAAAATTACTGAGGTGTCATAAAGTGTAATAATTCTATTTGGTTAATATCTAAGTCAAATGGGTAATTGATCTATGATAGGATAGAGTTCAAAAAGAACTTGGTAGGCACAAAAATTACTGAGGTTGTCTACATCTACACAATAAATAAAAGAAAAATGAATAAACTTGAACCCCATTTCAAATTTCTTGCATCCAGAGCGAAAGTAGGAAGGGTAGTTTCGTCTTCATAATCATTTATTATTTTCTTATTTACATGAAAAAATACATCAATAATGAATTTTGAACCATGCTCTCTTCAAACAAAGATAAGAAACAAAACTAGTTACACTAACCATATTTGTTAAATCTTTTTAAATTAAAACATACATGAAGCTTAAATTTGAAAAATCATATGACTTGTCCACCACGGTTAGCTAACTCACTAACTCTCCCGTAAATATTTTTTATTGGTATTTGATACTCTCTGATTTGATATTTTTTTATTCTAATTCGAGTTTAATAATTAATTTCATTTCATTTATCTTATATAAGTAGGATAATTATAAATCGCAACCCAAATGTCATTGGTTCAAATATTGTATATCGAATTGCACTATTGAATGTGCAAAAGTGATGTAGAATTCTCAACACGGACCTAATTTTTATAACTACCATATAGCAACAATACTTTTGAACACAGAAGTTTTGAATGAATACATGGCACATGTGTCTTTAAGAAAGGAGTAAATATGGAAAGGTTGAATGATGTTGGTTTGCCGAACATGGATGAAAAAGACATTACTAATGAAAATGGACCCAATTATGCCCTGACCCAGTAAACGCATCACCGTTTATCCAAACTTCCCATCGGATTCAACAGCCGACTAACCTCCTCCATCTCTATTTGTTACGCCAGATCAATTTTCGGAGTGACAAATATTGAAAGTTTGAGTGTTGTTGGTTTGTCAAACGCGGATGGAAAAGACGCTACTAATGTAAACGAGTCCAAATGGATGCCCGACCACTAAACACTCAACCACCGCGCTTACTTTTGCTACACCTAATATAATATAGAAATGAGAAAGGTACTTTCCCATTATAAAATCCTTGCATCCATAGTGAAAGGAGGAAAGATTGATTTGTCTTCATAGTCATTTATTATTTTCTTATTTACAGGAAAAAAATACATCAGTGATTGGATTTGATCTGTGGTCTCTTTGAAAAAAGACAATAACATAACTAGTTACACTAAACAAATTTTGTAAATCTTTTTAAATTAAAAACATAAAGGAAGCTTATATATGAAAAATCATAGGAATTTTTCACCATGGTTAGCTAACCCACAAACTCTCCCGTAAATATTCTTTTGGTATTTGATACTTCTATTATCATATTTTAATTATTTTAATTAGAGTTTAATAATTAATTATATTTTTATTTTTATAAAAGAGAATAATTTTAAAATCGCAAACCTAACGTCATTGGTGCAAATTATTGAATGTGTAGAAACGATGCAGAATTCTTAACATAGACTAAAATTTTATAACTACCATACAACAATATTTATTAAAACAAAAGTTTTGAGTGAATACGTAGCATATGTGTCATTAAGAGAGGGGTAAATATGGAAAGATTGAGTGATGTTGGTTTGTTGAAAGCGGATAGAAAAGGCGCAACTAATGTAAATGGGTCTAAATAGTGTTCCGCAAAGTAGTTAAAATCGGGTTTTTACCTAAAATCGAAAATTAGGGTAAAATCGGAATGGTAAAATCGTAAGATTTTAAGTACCATATAGAAATTAACATATAATAATATTAATAAGGTA